CCCGCTTCTCTTCGCGGCTTTAGTAAGACTGGTCGTTCTTCATGTTTCTATCATCCATCATAAACATCGCCATCGTCATCTTCAGTATTGTTGTTAGTGATTTGCTTCACTTTTTAATTGTTATTATTCATATTTTTTATTGGGGGGGGGGGGATCAGAAGACCACCCAACGGTGAGAGAGACAGTGGCTTTGATTCCTTTTTGGCACTTCACACTTCCCCTCAGCTTCAGCTCAGATCAGAAGCTTTCTGAAGCTGCTTTGCGCTTCCACAGATGACAATGAGCGGATCAGGAGGAAAGGGTCAAGTCCCAACGTACAAGGAAGGACTGTGTCGTCTGTCCTTATCTCTCAAGGTCCTTTCTCACTCACTCTCCTGTCTTCTATCGTGGCTTGTTGCTTCGTAAATGGAGGGGGGGAGGGGTCTTCTGCTGTTGGTTTATCGCGCGTAAGCTTAATCATGTTCTAGTAATGGTTATGCTAATATTCCCCCATTGACGCTCTTCTCATCTTTTGTTTCCATTTGCAGTTAATTATCTTTTTTTATGTTTCTCTGGATATTCTAAAATTATTTGAGCGTTATGCTACGTCGAGTTATTCAGCTCTTCAAAGGTTTACATGGAATTTGCATACAGGACTACATTGTTTTTATAATGCAACTGCAAACAGACGCAAAAACATATTCATCACTAGTTCTGGCCCAGCACGAACAAATATGCTATTCAAATTATAATCAAATTAAAATCTGGTTTAAAAAAAGAAAATGTGTAATGCTATGATTTCACTACTTGAATATGTAAATATATGTATAATTTCTTTACATTCTTTTAAATCAATTTCACTTTTTGTCCCCTTCCTCTCAAAATCTCTTAAAAAAAACAAAACTGCTGTAAATATAGAGCTAAATAGGGTATGTTTATTATTTCATTAGTACTGAAATAGTAAAATTTTGTCCATATTTGCAAAACAAAAAAAAGTTTTCATCTTAAGACATTTTCTCTTGCATAACTCTTCCATTGGTTTCTCCTTATCCTTTCTCATATTGGCCCAGGTGCAAAGGTTTTTCATTCTGTGTTATCCATGTAATGAAATATTTTGTATTTTTGTAATAAAACATGTATAAATACATATTCCATCTTTAACTTTTTCTTATTATCCTTCTGCGTTGATCTAGAAAGATTGTCAGTGACAATATTTTCGATTGGAATCCAGGTACGTATTATTATTATTATTATCATCATCATCATCATCATTATTATCATTATTATTATTATTGCTGTTGTTTTAGTTGTTAGTGTTATTATCATTATCAATATCAACATGCTATCGTCATTTTGTTTACTGATACTCTAATCATCAGCATGATAATTATCATTAATATCTTTGTTGTCAGCGTTATCATTATTACCAATATCATTTCATCGTTATCATCATTAGCAGCAGCACCATCATTAGCATCATCATCGTCATCAATATATATATATATATATATATATATATATATATATATATATATATATATATATATATATATATACTTGTTCGTAGTAGTAGTGCTAGCTGTCCTTTTATTTCTAATTTCTTATTATTGTAATTGTTATATCATTATTATTTCCTCGCTATCACTTTCATCTTCATCATCTTTATCTTAACCATCAGTCTCCTCATTATCACAACTGCCCTCAATAAAAATAACTGTAATTTACACTGTAATGATATTTATCACAAATGAGGTATCAAGGTGTGTTGCTCTCTCACTGGAATGGGTGCAGCAATATATCTTATAAAAGCGATAGAGATTTGTATCTTTATGAATGATTAATTTGCTAATGGAATTATATAACAGATATATTACCTTCAATATTTTTTCATGTAAGATTATTCGTCTTACATATTACTGATATCACCTACATAACACAAATCAAAAGTCAGATAATCGTACAGCTGTTTAATTAATCAAGCCTATTAATGTTTTATTTTTATAAATGCTTGTTGAATGATCACCTACCATCGAGATTTAACTGACGATTTACACATGTAGAATAAGATTGTCTAAAAGCTACTGTATTAAAGAAATAAGAATTATTAATTCTACCATAAGATAAGAATGCCCCTTCCTCCGGCACCGAGGAATTCTCCTCTTGCCAAGCCCTGTGCTTTTGAACTGATATTCATGCAAAACCCGGCAAGAACCTACTCACTTCATGTGGATTCAGCGCGCAGGCTATTTGAAGACTATTAGGTTCCCTCGCAACGTGCATTTCATTTCCTATTTGGGCCGAACCATTTATAATCTGAGAATAATGTTTATAGCTACTTCTTTACTCGCAGTGGTGAAAATGAGGAAGGTATTTATTCATTCAGATCCAGTGTCACATTCTACGTATTACTGGATGCCTGGGATACAGCCGCCTTGATATTAATAGACCGCAGAGACTTCTGAAGAATCTGGAATTATTTATCGCATTCCATTAACCATTCTGCCACACGTGTACACAGGATACCTACCAATTCCAAGATATCACAAGTATCGGAAAAAAAGATATTTTACAAGTATCCTGTACGTACGTGCAACCTTTCCTCGATTCTGCAACGCTTCGGTATGTAGCACAAATATAAAACAAAAACTGACACACTTCACAAGTAGCGATGCACTTCTACATATAATTCCTCTGCCTACGCCATCACAAGTGGAAACATATCTGATTCAATCATAATGAAAGTGGTTCTGCGTAACACTTCAATCGCCGATGCATTTTACAACTACCCATCACAACAGCCCCTTTAATACACACCAGAGTACGCATTTACTTGCTTGCATCAGATAGATAACAACACATCTTCCATTGTTATATCTGTGATGTTTCCCACAACTTTTATACTCGTAAATCAGTACCCGATGTACAAGGGTTGAATTTTGAAGGAATGTGATAAAAGATCCCGTGGTTTCCTTCGATGATACGGTCTGTAGTCAATCATTTATATTTTCAGCGAGATACCTGTGTCCCTCGCCTTTGGATACGAAGCAAGAAATAAAGAAACGCAGAGAAATGAATGAGTGGGAGGACAGATTAATCCTATCAGGGATGGTTTATCGCTCAACGTTTTGCTTTTCAGTATTTCTTGGTTTCCAAAAATATCCTTCCCATGCAAGTGCTTGTGTTTCTCAATATTACCACTGAACGCTTACTGAACTTTTTTTTTTTTTTCTTTTTTTTTTTTTTTTTTGAGTGGGCTAGTGATTGCCAGTATTTTTATTTTCGAAATCATTAATACTTGTATAGTTATCCTGATTATCATAACTGTTATCATTATTGTAATTATCTTTGTCATTAACACCACTATTGTTCTCAGCTTGGTCATTAATGTTATGATTATTTTCATTATTATTATCATCATCATTAATGTTATCATCATTACCATTACTATTAGTAGTAGTAATGGTAGAAGTAGTAGTAGTAGTAGTAGTACTTTCATCATCGTCATCATCACCATTATAATAATGATTATTATTATAAATGATAGT